CTGATCATCAGTAGCTTACTAAAACTTTTATTCCCTCATTCCATGTTTTATGATGTTATTTATAGATGTTATGCACCAATAATATTACGCATTACTTTCGGGATTTTCAATCGTGCATCCAAGACATGTACCAAAAAGCTATCAGCCGTTGACTGTAGTCCCATTTCCTTTCATCAGCTTTATTATAATTTCCGGAATAGAGAAGCTCCAGCGTACAGTTATGTATTTTAAAATTATTTTAGTGAAATGCCTCTGATATTTACTCCGTTGCGAGTATGTGATTCACATTATACGAAGCATAGAATTCAGTTTACTCAATCGGGGAAAATTCGCGGCCTCGGTGGGATTCGAACCCACACAGATGGGAAGGCCATTTCACAGCCAACGCTCTACTATTGAGCTACGAAGGCATGCTGAAGCTTTGAATATAATGACACTTAGACCGATTTGCCCGCCAGCCTTCTGCTCATAGCAAATTGCACTTCAATAAGCCTTTCCGCCTTAACAGTAGAGCTTGGTTCTAATCGCGCTCTTTTACGACTTGCTTTTTTGCTGCGTTTTGCGACGACTTGAAATCGTGTCCTGTGAGCTAATTTCCCGGAAGTTCCATGTCACATGCTTGCCAATTCGATATCTGTAGATCAGATTTAATCCAGCGAATCGGAGTGACCCTTAAAAAACCTACACTACACCACACACTGCACTACATTGAGGTGCTATTGTATTGACAACTCGCCTCCATATCTCTGTTGAGCTTAACATGTTGAGATTAACATTAATACAGTTTGTGGCTCTTCCACTGTTTCTGTGATGTCAATTGTTCGGAGAATGTTTGATAATCTTTGTTTAACTTGAGAATAATACATCATCTTAAAATATCCTTTGCGAAGCATAGTGTTCTCAGTTATCGTTTTTTTGCTGTTTCATGAACCATTCTATTTGAACTACTCGCCGTGGTTGTCTCCCTAAAAGTCTATGATTACTTCTAGCATCTTACGGGAATTTAGTAAAATTGGTGAACATGATGACCTAGAGCGAAAAATCTGAAAGCGTCCCAATAGAGGTATATTTAAGAGTACGCTTCGAACTCATTGCGTTGTGCCATCATGTTGTTAGCTTCCGGATACCAAGTTGCTGCTAATCCCTCTTTTAAATGCCCATGAAGTGCAGGTTTGTTTTTAATCTAATTTACGGCACGTCATTCCCTTTAAGGAAGCATTGGAAAAAAATATCGGACAAAATATGTCCCTTAACTAGGGGTTTTCATATCACAACTATTTCAGGCACGTTTGCTTATCGTCTGTTGAAAGTCAACATACCTCAGCGTGGAATACTGTAAGGCCCTATTTCTAACTGAAATAATTGTAACCATCGATAATCCCGTCATTAAATAGACCTATTATTGGTTAACTATGTGGTGGTAGATTTGGGCAGCTGCGAATGGCCGCGGGGGGCAGTTAAGCCGCTACAGCACTGTAGCTGAAGACGTCGGGTACGATGGAGTAATTTAGCTTCACGTGTTGCACTCAATAGCCAAAGATCGCCTGATTAGATCTCGTTCGCCACCCTCAGGTTTAGGTTTTGACTGGCTGATGCCGGATAATAAGACAGAAATAGCCATTCCGATCTCTGTTGTCTTTATCAGTTCCACTTCATCATACGTTACACGTCGCTATGCAACTGCCTGCGGGGCTCTAGATTGAGCTTAAATACAAAATGGGCCGAGCATGTTCCCCAGCCAGGTCGATGAGCGTCCCAGTATAAATTACTTGCCCTTCCATGTCCATTTTGTAAGTATCTGTCTACCCACGCTGTTGTCAAGACATCAGCGACCACGGACGCGTTATCTCCATCCTGTCGCAGCGTAGTTTCGATTCTGTCCTCTGTCAAAGAGTAGTCCAATTGAACTCCAGTAAACCTTTGTCTACTCAAGTGACACATGTCACTGTCGGACAGGCTGCATATCAGGACTGACTTTTAGACACTGGACTGGCGAGGCACATCTGGGTGTCCAAAGTTAAGAGGTTTTTCGCGAGAGATCTTTAACCTGCACTCGATATTGGTCCTCCGGTAAAAAAATATTTGATGTTGCTTAAGTGATCCAAAAAACTCAGAGCCCTTCGTTATATGTTTGAAGATACCATCTTCGAAAGTATTCTATCGGCTTATCTGAAACAACACTTTCCTTCTTAGTTAGGTAGACTGCACGATTAGTGTCGATTTAGATCTGTTAGGCAGACTTGTCTGTAATCTTAAATTTTAGGGATTTACAACACCTAAAGAGGCAAGCAGCCATAAGAACTGATGTTCTTGACTCTTTGGAAACTCTAGGTGCGTTATATCAAATGTCTGTTCAACCAATCGGGATTTCCGGTGCAAGTCGTGTTTGTTTAAAGCCAATCACTTAATCGACTGTGGTCATTCGCTAAGTCGTCAGCGGTCATTCGCCAAGTTTCTGACCTTGCACTTCTTGCTGATCGACAGCCTTGGTTGTTCTACAAGTCAGAAAATTTAACGACTTGCTAATGCATCTATATCTTCCTTTTAGCGCCTGACCTTTCCGATTTTTAATGACCGGCCGATGTCGGACACAGACATGGCGTCTGATGCTACGCCTACCGTCCAAGGTGCCACAGTTAACCACCGC